TAGAGCATTTGACATGAATATTTGTTTTCTCATATTGGTCAACAACTACTTAACATGTGTCTACTTCCCACATAAGGCAAAAGGAAATCCTGTGATTGGAATTGGCTTTTCAACATTTGAGAATAGTAACATCAAAGAGAGATGCTCAGGGTATAAAAAAGAAAATGGCAACAACTCCTCAGTAGGAAGGTGATTATGTCATGTCTTATTAACTAATCCTTTGGTGGAAAGGATTTGCCTCAAGGACATTTATAAACCCTCATTTAATGTCCTCCTTATAATGATCATTTTCTCATCACTTGTTCACCCGCTGATATGCTTTGCGTGAGGTGACAACTAGATTCTGATGAAGAGTCTATTTGTCTTTTCCTTTGATTTTTCATTTTAGATCATAGATCTTTAGAATACAGTAGGGAGCCAACAGTTGGGTTCAATAATTCTCCATCAGCAATTTTCAGTGTGCTCAATAAATGTGTTTTATCTAAAATAACATCCCGGACACACATTGCAAAATAACATTCTTTGTTTATAAAAAGTAACTCATACTTAGAAAGATTTTGGAAAATATAGAAATGCATGAAAGAAGAGACGAAGTTCCTCATAATCCTACAACTCACCTTTTATGAATATTTTGATACATATTCTTGTTCACTTTTCTCCCTACATACGTATATTCATGAAGCAGCCAGAATTTTTTCTGCATGCACAATTGGGATTATTAAAAACGTTAACGAACTGGTTTCAAGGTTGTAGATATTTGAAAAATGACCTCTTTTGGGTTTTTTTTTAAAGTATTTATTTATTTATTTTTGAGAAAGAGAGAGAGAGTGGGGGAAGGAGGGGCAGAGAGAGGGAGACAAAGAATCCCAAGCAGGCTCCGTGCCCAATGCAGGGCTCAAACTCAAGAACTGAACTGTGAGATCATGACGTGAGCTGAAATCAAAAGTCGAATGCTTAACAGAGTGAGCCACCCAGTGCCCCCCTGTGTTTTGGTTCCTAATGAACACTTTGGTCACCAAATATTTAGCTGAATCTCAGCAGTGGTCTGTCAGAATTCTTAAGGTATGATGGAGCTATATTGAAAATAGAAGTCACATGATCATAATTTCAATTTGTTTCATAAAATCCTACAAAGCTAATATTACAGGAGAAGGTCGAGCTCATTTTTAGGAACTCCATGATATTAACGATGTATCTAAATATACCCTGAGGAAATGGAGGACTAATATTTATTGCACATCTGTTGTGTGTCAGGCAGAGTGCTGAATATTTTGCAAAAGTTGCCTCATATGTATATGTCATCTGAAGGGTGAAAAATGACATTTTCAATCTCTGTACCCTTAAAATGGGATAGAAATAATCGAGGTACAAATTCCTGCAATTCAGGGATGGAAAAGAAGGGATGGGTTTTGATCAGAAGTAAATTTAAGTTCACTGTTGAGTCAAGATAAACTATATAACCCTCTTTTCTCTCCTTATTTTGAGTCTGGAGTCACTGCCCGACTATTAATATTTTACCTTCTGTTGGGTAGATTTTGGCTTTGTAAGAATTCAGTGCAACTTATTTTCCATGAAAGCTACTCAGTGCTGCTGTATCAGGATTGCATGTGCCCACTTTGCTTACTACAGAGGAGTCTCTGCCTTCCGCTGATCTATAGGTAATAGAAGATGCCTCCGGAATATATTTCCCTAAAGTTATAATCGGATATGCCATGGGCTCACATAACAAGTCATGTCCATGCAAAGTGGCAAGTCATTTACTGCAGTTACAGGAAATGCAAATCTGATCTGGTGTGTGACAAGTTGAAAGCTCTATTTTGCTGCCTGTGTTAGAGAACTAGCTGGCTGTTTGCACATTGTTTTAGGTAAACCCTTCACTGGAAAGGATGACCTGAGGTGGCCGTAGACATAATGCTGCCCTTGTGTTTGTGACTGTCATAAGTAATGTCTCCTCTACCTTACTAGAGACAGACATGATGAAATGTGTTCAATGTGACTATAGTGCCTTTGTTAGGAGGACACTGGCAGGATATTTCTTTATGTGAGTGTTTGTCTTAAAGTTGACCTTTACCCCCAAAACAGCTGGGATACTTAGAAGTTTTCAGTTTGTTAACACCTTGCTTCTGGTGTTCCCATTATTACCTCTCTGAATGTTACAACAGAACTCTGTCGTGGGGTCATTTTTAGGAGCACAGGCTCTGGACCAGCTAGCAGGGAGTTGACTTCTAGCTTGAAGTGCTAGTGTGATACTTCAGGCAAGAGACTTAACTTGTCTAGGCCTCATTTTCTCCCCTGGTAAAATGAGGATAGTAACCACACCACATTTACTGCCTTGTTGTGAAGGTTTAGGCAATGCATGTGAAATTCCTAGCACAATGGCTTGCTCAAAAAATGAAATCCTTATAATCCTGTTAGGTGGGTGAGGCAAATATGAAGCAGAAAGATGTCAAGAAGTTAAGTAAGATACTTGGCCTCAGGCCACATAGTCGTCAGATCAGCCATTTCCATTTTAGTTTTCTTTTAAAGGCTGCTTTGCTCTCTTAATTAAACACGTATGTGTATATGCAGCTGTTGACTTTCAGATGCGATGTTTTGTCAACAAATGTAATTATGCAACTTATACATTGCAACAGACATGGTTGTGAGGCAATGTGGCTGTAGCCATGGGGCTCATCTACGCGCAAGCGCCCACACACCTCAGCACAGACAAGCATGCACCTACATTCAGAATGTTCCCTTCTCAAAGGAAACCTCAGATGCTTTGCACGCATCTTGCTTCTAGTTATGGTTCTGTCACAACTTGGGTGCTCACTCAGAGCCTCAGTCTCCTTGCTAGTAGAAAAGAATAGTACGTGACTTGTAGTATTATTAATTAAGATATCACTAAACAGAATTTAAGACAGGGTATGGAAAGTCCTTAGCACTGAGCCTGGCACAGAATAAATTCCTAATCCATGTTAGCTAATATCTTTATGGTTGCCCTTGCTGACCGTGCTGGTGCCCGTGGTGTTTATGGAGGGTCAGAGGGGAAGACTCTCCTGCCAGAACAGTCTACAAGCTGGCTATCTTAGTCTCTTCATAACTCTTATGACTGACAGTCTGACCTCATCTTTCTTATTTATCATCTCTCTGCCCCCATTAGAATCATGTTCCACAGAGGAGGGAACCCAACAGTGCTGGACACATAGCAAGTGTCCCCCTAAAAGTCTGTAGATGAGTTAATGAGTGAAGACGAGTTTGAGAGCAATGGGAAAGAGGAAGGAAGTAACCTGTGTGAGCACGGCAGGATGGAATAACCTATATTACCAATCTGTCCCGTGAACTTCTGGGTCTGCCAGCCACCAGCATTTGTTAGGAAGGAAACAGCTTCCAGAGGAAGTCTGCTTAAGAAATCAGAATAACATGATAGAGCACAGGCGGTTCAGCAAGCGTCTTTCTCTTCATGGGGGCTGGGGGACAAGTAAAATCTGTGTCAATGTATTTGTCTTTGATCTGAGTTCAGGTCAACCTCATCCCCCAACTGTTCACGATTGTCACAATCCTGCTCTCCAAGTCCTGTTTTCCAATATCCTAGCTACTCTCCAAAAGTGCGGTTGCAACTTTCATTCGATCAAATTGATTGCAGATGCCTTCCATGATAGTGTCTGTGTGCACGAAGAAGCCCGCCATATGCTGACGGGCTTTAAATGAGTTACTATATGTGACACAATTACAGTAGTGACTGGCACCCAGCAACAGCTCCTCAAATGTTCCCTGTTGTTGCCGCTGTTGTTATTATTATCGTTACCCATTTATTCACAAAGGATTTACGGAGCTCCTCTTATGTGTCTGCAGATGTGCCGGGCACAGGATATTTCATGGTAAGCTACACAGACCAGGTCTCTGACTTCATGAAGCAGAGGATGTAGGTGAGGTTCAGAAAATAACGCTGAGTATGTCACACGGAATAGTGATGGATTGTGTTACCTTGGTGGGTGGCTGGAGACGTCACTCTTGGTGAGGGCAGGCCCCCCTCCGGCCTTGTTAAACACTGTCCCTCTAGGATCTTGTGAAGGGCATAGTAGGCCTTCAGTTCACACTGGATGAAAAAATAAAGGAGTGAAATTCTGAAAGGGGGCCTAGTTTAACATGGGTGCTGCAGATTCTCGATTTAGGCTGCGTGTGCAGGTCCCGTAGGAGCTCTGCCCATTTGTGGACTCTGTTTGGTGGCAAAGTCTGGGTTAGAGTAAATGTGGGTGGACATGGGGGGTGGGGAGAATGAGGCTGTGAGAGCAGGCATATACATAAGTGAAATCTGTGTGGAACTGAGGTAACACAGGAAACAAAGTCTTTGGTTGTGTATTTTTGAGGTAAATCTTAGCTGATGTGTGAGCCCACGTGGAGGGTTCTGACCCAGGTAAACCTGAGCTTGAGTCAGCTTGTGAGGTACTACCACGGGGTTGCTGTATGAGGGAGGACGGTATTGGAAGTATTTTGCAAGACACAACGTAGGGACCTGTGCATGCCTTTGACCTGTAGTATAATTGTCTGGGAGGCAAATTATGGGTGCATAAAAAGCAAGATCTAGGGTGCTAAACATGAGGTGAGAATGGTTTAAGCGTAGATTTGTCTGTGAATCAATTATAAGGCTTTTGTGATGGTCAGCGAAGAGGGTCCTCCCTTTCAGCCGATTCAGGGGTTCTTTAGTTGAGAGTGAGGCAGATGCTAAAAGGGGGGACAATTGTGAGACAATTCTAAGATAAGGAGGAGACAAATCTGGGATTCTGGGTAAGCAAAGTCTAGGACTGTGAGTTTGGTAAATCTCTGTGGGTGCACGTTGTCGTAAATCACAGCCCGGCTTTGAGACGAACCCACCTGAGCCAGGTAGGTTTGCGTGCACGAGGGGGGCAGAGAGGCTTGTGGTTGCGAAGCAAACTCGGAAGTCAGCGTGGGTGAGAGAGGGTTTCTGTGCATGTGTGAGTGAGGCAAGTTCTTGAGTGTGGCTCCGGGGGCCGCTGGGCGAGCGGGAAGCGTGCGTGCGTGTGAGTGCGCGCGCGCCAAGTTGGGATTTCTACTTTCCAAGGGCCCCCGGGCCGCGCGACCCTGGGAGGCCGCGTTAGGGTCGGGTGCGCGCCGACGGGCGGCGGGCGGGCGACAGGTCCCGAGCCGGAGCGCGCCGCTGCCCCGGCCCCTGCGCCGCGCGCTCGCGGGCTGGCTGGGGACTGGCAGGAACCGGAGCTGCACTGCCGCCTCTGGCGCGAACGCTCAGGCGCCTCCTCCCGCCCCAGTCACTGTGGCTCGGAGCACGCTGCCGGCGGCTGCCCTTTCCGCCTCTGGGGGAGCAAAGCCGCGGGCCCGCTGTGCGCCTGAACCATGGCCTCGGGCCGGAGGGGCTGGGACAGCTCCCACGAGGACGATCTGCCCGTGTACCTGGCCAGGCCGGGCACCACGGACCAGGTCCCGCGGCAGAAGTACGGCGGCATGTTCTGCAACGTGGAGGGCGCCTTCGAGAGCAAGACGCTGGATTTCGATGCCCTGAGCGTGGGGCAGCGGGGCGCGAAGACTCCCCGGAGCAGCCAGGGCAGCGGCCGCGGCTCGGGGAGCCGGCCGGGGGTGGAGGGGGACACCCCGCGCCGGGGCCAAGGCCGGGAGGAGGGCAGGGAGCCCGCGCCCGCGTCGCCCGCGTCGCCCGCGTCGCCCGCGCCCTCCGGGGTGGAAATCCGGAGCGCCACCGGCAAGGAGGTTTTGCAGAACCTCGGCCCCAAGGACAAGGTAAGGGGGCCCGCGGCTCTTCTCCTCCAGCCCTCGTTCCCTTGGCAGCCCGGGGCGACAGGGCCCGGGCACAACTTTCTCCGGCTCACTTCGCTGGGGGAAGGGGGACAGGGAGGTGAAGGGCATCCTCTGCTGAAAGTAGCGCGATCTCTCTCGGCCGGGACCCGGATTCGCGCGGGTTCCCAACCGCCGCATCTCCGTGGGCGCCGGAGCGGGGCACGCGGATTCCAACCCCCCCCCCCCCCACCCGCTTCCCTGTCGCACCCCCGGGCCGGCGGGTCTGGGTGGGTGTGTCAGCCGGGCCAGGCAGGAAGGTTAGTGATTTCCAGCCCTTCTCTCTGACTGAGTAACCACTGGCACAATTGTCTTGGCCCCACTCTGGCCCTAAATTAAATCTCAACCGTGGTCACCAGGGCAGAGGGCACGCTGGCGCTGGGAAGATGGGGTCATCTCCACAGTCCCCGGATGAACGTACAGGATGGGCGGTCTCCCCTCTCACTCTTTAGACATCAGCCCAGTCCCTGAAACTTTTGGGTGTGGAGCCACTAGACTAAACACCCTCATGTGCCTCTCTTCTGTCCTAGATCGACATTTCACATCTGTTTGTAAAGTGTACATTTGTGTACAAAGCTTGTTGCAAGACTGGGTACCACAGGGATCCAGCTGTCTCTGGAATAATATGACTTATTTTTGAAAACAGGCAAGAGTAGTAAGCGTGCACTTTAAACTAGCACAAGCTGTAAATTCTCTGCTGCTCCTCCATGTGCCAAAACCAATTTCTAATGTATGTGTATTTTTGAGAAACTCATGACACACTGAACTGGCTGAAGGTATGGCGTTGAAATCCAGTTTGCTCTCATCTGTTTGTTTATTTCATAGAAAACCAGAACCATAGTTCAGAAAATTCAGGATCTGGGCAGGGCTGGAGCACTCAAAGTTCAAACTGACGCTTTTGAGTTGGGGAACAATAGTAATCAGATACGTCACTCTTGTGTAGATAATGGCTGCAAAATCCATCCACATGTATTATTCTGTGCGAATACTGGTATGAATAATAACCCGAAATGGAAATGTCTGCCCCAGAGCAATTATAGTTAATGCTTACCCAAGTTTTAGATGTTTTTCCAAATGCAGTGAGGCAGTCAAAGGAAAGCATATCTCTGCACTGTTTGATTTTGAGAAGTTTAAAAAAATAAACAAAGCTTTAATTATTGATACTGCTAGGGAAAGAAAGCCCTGAAGTTAGTATTGTGTAGAGATGCCTTTGGGAAGCAATGTCCGTTTCCCTTGGAATCACTCGTTTAGTTGGTGATTTTCATATCATCCTTGAGAGTATGGGATCCCTCTAGGCCCTGCTCAAATACCCTTTTAGGAAAAACTTCTGATATTTTGGAGAAGCTGTGGCTGATTTCTGAACCTAAGAAAGGCGTTCCAGGAAGATTATCGACTCTCTTCAGGTCTGAGCTGATCCCTATTGAAATGTTCCCTTCCTGACTCTAAGGGGAGGGAGAAGTGATGGAAAAGGTCGGTAACAATTGCTGTGAGTCACTGCTATTCCCTTTGCTGAAACACCCCTGATGTCAGCCAGATAATATGCCTGGTTTGCAAGATTTAAGAATGGTAACTAGAGAAAGGGAAAATGTTCCTCCTTTAAGCCCAGAAATTCTCTTCATTTTCTTTCCTTTTGCAAACCCTATACTTTTGGCTCCTAATTGAAAAATAATAATACAACTTAAGCATCAGCAGGATTTCTAGTGCTACATGGTTATTTGTAAGTTCAGGCTTGCTGTCAGCTTCATGCAGGCCCTGTGATTATCTCTAATTTGGTTGAATCACACTGCTACGAGAGTCAGCAGACCTTATCTACTTCTGTTCTTGGTGGCTATTTCCTTGAGGGTAGGTATTGTGTGTTTGGATTTGTCACTGTAGCTGAAATGCCTAGGACACTGGACATGTTCCATAAGTGTTTGGTACATTAACCTCCTTAATTAAGCCATATTTTTTGCTACACAGATGCAGAATGATCGTCTGGTCTCTGTTTGCTTATTTTTCATATTTTAGTTTTTAATTTTTTAGAATAAACTCTAGGCCCAACGTGGGGTTTGAATTCACGACCCCAAGATCCAGAGTCCTGTGCTCCACCGACTGAGCCAGGCCAGTGCCCCTTCTGGCCTCTTATTTAAATACCACCATTTTCAGGGAGCGCTGTACCCCGTGAAGCAACTTTTGGAAACCTTCACTTTAAAAAAATTAAATTAAGCTCAAATCTGCCTACTTGTGGTTTCTGTAAACTATTCTTGGTTCTGACCTTTTAAAATGTAAGAATAGAGTTTAAAACAAAAAGTTTCTGAGCTATTTTAATGACTCGAAACATGTGGGTTTGTTTATCTGTCAGCACAGGTTGCGTATTGCCACAGTAACAAGCAATCCCCACATCTCAGTGGCTTAATCAAACAAGCACAGTTGATTTCTTGCTCCTGTTACTTGTCCACCGTGGGTCAGCAGGACCCTCATTTCCCCCCAGGGACCTAGGCTGATGGAGGTTTCAGCTCTGTGCTCCCTTGCTGGGAAGAACATGGGCGAGTTGCTCATAGGCTCTTGAACTCCCTTGCTGAAGTCACAAAGATGACTTAGGTTCACATTTCACTGACCAGAGCAAATCATTAAACTGTGCCCCCCAAAATTGGGAGGGTGCAATCTTACCATGATACTGTAAGACGGAGATTAGAAGTATTTGGAGGAGTGCCTGGCTGGCCCAGTGGATGGAGCATGCGACCCTTGATCTCAGGGTCATGAGTTCGAGCCCCATTTTGGTCATAGAGCTTACTTTAAAAAAAATTAAAAATTAAAAAACCAAAAGGAAGTATTTGGCGTATAGCTTTAATATCTCCACCGTACCTGGGGCTGGACTACTGGGATGAGACCTGGCTCTGCCCATCTAGATTATGTGACTGTATAATCACATATACAGCTACAGCTCGGCTTCTGGGCCTGTGCTTTCTCACCTGCAAGATGTAAATAACAGTGAGTACTTTGCACGTATTAAGTACTCAGTACATATTAGTTACGATTACTGTTTGAGTTTTTACTGCTCTTTATATGTTTGAGGGCAGTTATATTCTTCCTAAAATTCTCTTTTTTAGCCTTATCATTCCTAGCTTCTTTAGCCCTCTCTTATGTAAGACTTTAACTCTTCTGATTTACTTTTCAGGTTTGACTATATTTTATAAATATTTTTTCAAAAACTGCAGTGCCCAGAACCGAACACAGTGCTCCAGATGGGATATGGCTGTGGCAAAGTATATTAGGCTAGTCAATTTCCTTGATTTACATGGACAATGTATGCTTTTGTAGTAGGACAGCCAGAATTCAAATGGATTTTTCTAAGTCCAGAGTCCCATTTTTCTGAGTTCTGAGTCCTTTCCTGACGGGGAGGATGCTGCTTTATTTTAATTCGGTGAGCCTGACCCTTGGCTCTGCTCTTAACATGTTATTGTCATGCAGGGCAAGGATAGAGCTTTCCACCACACCTCAAGAACCTTCTCCCATCTTGCCACCAGCCCATTATTCAGGACACTTGGAGAATAGTTGCTCAGCCTATGAAAACAGTTGCTGCAAAATCCTTATTTTTCCAAGTTGCATTCCAAGTTGAATGCAAAATTATTAAAAGTGATTTTTAAAAATTGTCCTGATAAACTCACAGTATGCTTTGTCTATAGCATACCTACTTATTAACTCCCAACTTAAGGAAATGAGTTTAGTTAATAAAGGCATACATTATAAACAAATTACGTTATAAACAAAAGTATGTGGCAGAATAAAAGTAAAAAAAGTCTCTGAATTATACTTTGAGTGCCAAGTGCCACGTTTGAGGTATGATTGGGTTTTTATAGTGTGGTTCTGGAGCTACCTGTAAGCACCTTGTTAAATAATGTACCTAGATTTTTTTTCTTCGGATAGCCGTTTATACTGCCCAGATCCTCCCTGGTTGGCTCACACGACTTTTTGTTTATAACTTTTGACAGTAAGTGCATAAAAAAGTAGTTGTAAATGAAAAGGAAGTATTTTTCACCATTTCTTAAGATGGTTTCCAGAGTTTTTCTTGCAGCTTAGAAATTACCAACGGGAGGAGAATGATGATATATGGTCTGCCAAGAGCAAATGATACTGCAAAAACTCTGTCATCCAGTGAAAACAAAGTAATGGCATTATGATTACATGGGTCTATTGATAACTCCCTGTCAGGAGCCGTGGGTCATTTCTAGTCCCCGGTTTCCCACATGGGCCGCTTGCGTGCAAGTTGTCTCCTTTGTAAAGTCAGTAGGGGTTCTGGGTGTAGGAGGAGACAGGCCGAGTAGTGGCGCTTACCTTTTTTTTTTTTTTAATCATTTGTCATGTGCCCTTTTGGTCTTGGGCGACCAATTTTCAAAATGATCCAGAGAAGCTGAAGTTCTCCTCCTCACCCTGTGCAAGAGAAGACAGCTGGAAATAGAATTCTAGGTTTATAAAGGCCTCTCTACATCATCAGAATCCCTGGAGTGTATGTGAAGTTTTCAAAGCTGCTCTGACAAACCCAAGCTTGCACGTAGATGGGGAGAAAGGGCCCTTGGGTACCTGGCCCCCAGGCCACACTTGAATCTGGGACCATATTTACTTACCAAACTTGGAAGTGTTTGAAACCTTTCAGAACTTTGGTTTAGTTTGACAGCAGGCATTTGAGGAACATAAAAAATGTACCTTCCAAGTAATGCTGCGATTGGCAGTGTTCCCTCAAAGTAATGGTCCCTGGAGACAAGATTTTGCTGACGGCTCATGTAAGTAATGTCTAAGACAGCCAGGAGACTGTCCGTGATGCTTTTCTGTCAGTGATTTCTATAGCTGATTCTCTTTATGATTAATTTCCACTGGGCGTTATTCCTACAGATAATGTTCCTGTGAGACAGTGGATAGAGCTTCCTAGCAGTAGGCAGTCTGGCTGAGGAGGATGTAGGCTGTGACTG